GCCCACCCCAAATACTCATCCTGATAATGTCATTTATGTTTGCAAACAGAAAGTATTAATAAATGTGGCTGCAAGCAGGAATTTTTGAGGCCGATCAAGTCAGAAACAAAGTGACAAGCTAAGCAAGCATGGCAGGGGAGCATCAGGAAAATGCTTATTATATTTCAACATCTGTTTCTGCAGTCATTTACTCAGGATTATTATTAAAACTAATTGAATGACACCGATTAATGCTAAAAATATTTCAGTTATGGGAACAATGGCAAAGTTATCTCTCTTTTTGGCAAATCGTCATTCAGAGTAACAAACCATGGTTATTCAGTGTAACACATTTATTTATGTAAAAACAAAACAATATACTTTCTTATAATTCTGACCTGTACTTATTAAAATACAAATAAGAATATATGATCATACTAAATTTTAATATATTTGTAATGATTTTCACTTCCTTACAAAAACTTCTTGCTGGCAAACTGGAAAACATAGTGGTTTGAAGGACATTAGCAAAGTATAAAGATTTAAATATTAAAGTTAATTGATATTTGAGGGCTGCACTGTGATGCTTAAATAGAGTCTTTTAATATGTCATTAAATGATTCATGTTTTAAATATGCCTTAACAAGATTTTTTGCTATATAAATATTGTTACACTGAATGACAAACATGGTAAAAAAAATGCATGATAATTTTTTTTTTGTTCAGAAAAATATAAACTTAAACAGGACACATATGGGGGAAAAACAAAATCTAAAGTTGTATTGCACTTTCTTTCTTTTTTTGATGCTTGAAACACCCTTTTCGTCTTTGACCCATATATGAAATTTGTGCATAAAGTATATTTTGTGTTTGGATGTTTAGTCCAAATGATGGTTCCTCTTGACTAGAAATAAAACATGATTTCAAGTCATATATAAAAGGTTGAAAATATTTAGATAATTATTGCAATACAGTACTTACCCAACTGCTAAAATGCTCAAATTCAACAAAACTAACAATATGTACCATGTAAAGCCCCAGTGATGCTATATTCACGCAATTAACAATTATAAGTCAGTAACTGATGTGTAGGTTTTGTTAAGGGGAAGGAAGCAAACCTTGACAGTGCAGTCCTCTGATGCACTGGCAATAACATTGTCATCATGTGGGCACCACTGCACATCCAGCACCGGAGCGGCGTGACCGCACACGGTCGGGGTGTTCTGGTCCACTCGACCGCTCTAGTGTTAAGAGACACAGAAACTATGTGAGCAGAACCATTTGATTATGCAAACCAATGTAAAATACCAACTGTAAATCCTCAGGGCATATTTAAGGCATTGTTATTGCGAGAGAATGCATGCCAACCTTGGCGAGCGGTAACACAAGAAAGGCTCCGCCTCCTCCGGCCTCAATGACAACAGCAATGAGCTTCGGATTGGCAGCGCACAGCGGACCGTCCCATGTCACGCGCGATACTCTGACATCATCGAGGCAATGCTCAGCCTTCCAAGCCTGGGCAAACACATGCCTGAACTTACTCTGCCTGACAACACCCCTCCTGAAGGACATGGCTGTTGAAAGAATAGTGGCATATAACGTTAATCATTATTAAATAAATCAATCATGGCATATTTTTACAGGAGTATAACATAAAGCAAATAAATGGTCAACAAATCATAAAATAACACAGACTTTAAGATTAAATTGACATGATTATTTGTATAGTAACAATAGAAGAGCAAAAACCCAGTTGCAATTCAGTATGCAAATACTGCAATGACATCAATAAGTCAATGGGAAATTTTCAAACTTCGATCATGTCTTTGTTATACTCACATTTATTTTGAAATGTTCTGTGCAGCTATTAAAAAATACCATAATTATTGTCCAACAAACAAGATGCAGTTCACTGTATCATGCTCATTTTGTGAACCAGCAGTGGGGCATGTTGTCACAAGCTTTAAAGGCTATTATTGGCTTTTTAAATAGTAAAATATTAGTAACAGCAAAACAAATGCTAAATATATTGTATAGAAAAATCAACCACTGTTTGAAGTTAAAAAGTCATTAATAAATAAATAAATAAATATATAAATATTTCTATTTCAAATAAATGCTGGGTTTTTTTTGGTGAGCATAAGAGACTTCTTTCAAAAACATGAAAAAAGTATTATTATTCCAATTAATTATATAAACCCTGGTTTATTTTTGGCCAAAATCTCAAAATTGCTGCCAATAATATGGTCTATCACATAAAATGTGATATTATCTACTTTTCAGTTCTATTGACCATTAGGCTATTAGGTCAGAAAGGCTTGAGTATTGAAGTAAAAGTGAGAGCCCCTCTTGTCCAGTGAAACTCTAGAAGGCTGCAGCTCTCACGAGTCTGTGTCTGTGACTGCGCAGGGATGAACATGACACAGCTCAAGTCAGAAACCACAAACCATCAGCATTTAAGGTCTGATGTTCGGTCACCTTCCATTACACATGTATATTCTAATGAGATCTATTGACTATATATTTGGACAAATCAACCCTCCCTGAAAACCTTTTGTTTTTAATGTGATAAAACTAGAATCAATAAAGCCATGTTAAAACAGTAAAACCAACGGTAAACATCCCACTATAAATAACTTACAACTTTGTTAATCCTAAAGCTGTGACATGTGAACTGTGGTCTAAAGGTGCTTTCCAGGAGCCAGTTTTCATGGGATATTTCCATCAACTGCAGATTCTGCAATTTTCTTGATTGTGTCTGTTATATGGGTCAGTGAGTTATATGTTATTCAAAAATACACCAAGAGAGGCTATTCATACTAGAATGAAAACACATTTCTATGATGATTTTAATTTCCAAATAGAGTGTTCATGGTGTAATTCATAAAAAGAGAGAAAATAATTAAAGTTTCATTCTCAGTCTCCTTTGTTCAAATAAAAAAGCAATTGTTTTAAAATATCATTATTATTGGGGGGACAAATTGTTTGGTAACCAATATGCAGGAATCCAATTTGATGTCAAAGTGGTCACACTTTCATTAAAGTCATTGAATGTAAATAACTGTATAAAATTGTACAAACTTTTACACATGTACACTCTTTTTTATATATATATATATATATAAGTTACCTGAAAAAAAGTAATCTGATTACATAACTCGCGTTACTTGTAATGCGTTACCCCCAACACTGTGAATATACACATACACACACATTTAAATTTTAAATATTTATACAATTTTGTACAACTATTTAACAAAATGATGGTAAATGAATTTAAACCAAGGGCCGTCAGGAAACACGTTCTAAATGGAACGCAGAAATGAATGACACACGAGCTGTTACATTCATCAGTGCACTGTACCTCTGCTCGAGGGCTTCCTTCTTCTTTCCTTTCTTCCCTGTTCCTTTTCTTAGAAAAACCTGCCAACAGTAACAAAGCGATTCCGCTATAAAAAAATACGATCTATATACAAAAAATGCAGTGATCTTTATAAACGACAGTAATCCTTGCAGTGTGTCGATATCCTCGGGATTTTCTGCATGGTCCGGTGGAACAATTATATCCAGGCAATTTCTGCAGGCATCGACACATTAATCCATATCATCAGGGAAAACAAATGCACAATTGTATATTTTCAAAAGACATACGAAGCTTTTGTACAAAACCGTACAGTTAAGGAAGTTATAATAAATCGGGAAGAGCGTCGACCCCGCTGAAGGAGAAAAGATGATGGCTGGTAAATTTCTCAGCGAATGTGCCTAGAATTAAAAGCAGCGATGTGTGAAGCTCGCGACGCTGAGCACTGAGCAGTCATCTAAATGGACGGCGATACGCCTTGTTGACGAAATAAAAGTCCCGCTCTGAGCGCTTTGTGACTGTTTAAAAGTGTATTATTAAAATGTACCAGACTAGAGTACTAGACTAGAGTCCACTTGCAAAATATACTAATTTAAAACACTATTTAACAAAATATTTTTTTTCTTTTTGTGAGGGAACCTGCTAACAAAAAGGTATTTTAATACAAAACAAATAATTTCCAAGGTATCATTTCTTACCCGTTTAGAGACCGTTTTAGTACATTTGAGTAGGCTACTTTAATTGCAAGGCAGTTCTATGCAGAATGACAGTGGCGTAAAAAGGACTGAAAGACAGGTTGAAATTCAAAATAAAAGTCAAACCAAACCTTCCTAAAATGATTCTTAAAGGGGTCATATAATGCGATTTCAAGTTTTCCTTTCTCTTTGGAGTGTTACAAGCTCTTGGTGCTTAAAGAAGATCTGTAAAGTTGCAAAGACTAAAGTCTCAAATCCAGAGATATTCTTTATAAAAGTTAAGAGTCAGCCACGCCTACCTAAAACGCCTCGTTCTAACACGCCCCCACATATCTACGTCACGATGTGGGAATATTTGCATAACGCCACCTAAATGTGTACGCAAAGAAAGAAGGCGTAACTTTTATTCTCGCTGTAGTATTGTTGTTGCCGCCACCATGTCCTGAAGACGCTGTGTTTCGTTGTGAAAGTGAAACTACTTTGTTTGGTCTTCCAAAAGATATCTGCTTCGTCATGCCCTGGATCTGATCCGTGCTGGTCGCTGAGGAAATACATCAACTTTCACCGTGGACGAAGCGGAGTCCAGCCTGGGGTCGTCACATGTGGTTGCATGCATTTCCTGCTACAGCAGCCAAGCACGGTGGGGGACAGTTTACAAAAATGTACCAAGGTAATAGCTTACACCAAAATACCATCGTTAATAAAGTTGTTATTGAACTTATGGTTAATATTGTGAAACATAATAAATTATTATAATTTTCCATCCATTCATTCTTTTTTTGACAATGGTGGTTAATATCACAGTATTCCTGCTACAGCAGCCAAGCACGGTGGGGGACAGTTTACAAAAATGTCCCAAGGTAATAGCTTACACCAAAATACCATCGTTAATAAAGTTGTTATTGAACTTATGGTTAATATTGTGAAACATAATAAATTATTATAAATTTTCCATCCATTCATTCTTTTTTTGACAATGGTGGTTAATATCACAGTACCCCCAGTTTTATTGTAGCATTTTGGTGTTAATTATGGTTGATATGGTTTAAATTTAGGCTGAAAAGCTCAGAACAATAATGAAGTCCTGATTTAACATTGTGTTTTCTGAAATTCATCTAACATAGATACATATGCAGTATAATTAGGGTTGATTTAATAACCCTCATACACTGCAGTGAATTGAATACGCCAAAGTTACCATCAGGACCCATGGCTTTATATTTTGATAGATAGAAAGTTCACAAGAGTATCTCAGGAGCTTGCGGTAACACTGCCCACTTATTAAAACGAAATACATTTAAAGCACTAGTACATAATGAAGTATATATGCTGTAAACAATGACAGTCACTCCTACAATGACATTCGGTGAACATGCAGGAGCCATTTTCAAAACAAGGTAATGCAATACTTCATAATACTATTCATGCAGTGGGTAGTTTCCAGTCAAAATACAAAATACACACATATATTCAAAAATATATATATCGAAACACCATTTTTACATCTCTGGATTACAGACATCAAGGTCAAAAAATCACAGTGAAGGATTAACTGACCAGAAAACAGTTCATGTAGTATTTTCTCCCTCAACAGCAATTCAAGTGAAGCCTTAGGTTGCAATAACAATAATAAAAGATCTTAACTCCATTGCTGCTCAACTTTGGCGGATTCCAGTTAATCTGCACGTGAAACACATGTTGTGACCCATAATACTCAAGCGTCCCAGTTCCGGATTACACAATTATTTGAGGAACTGTTTAAGTAATGCTGGTATTGTTTTGCAGGTTTGAGTTTAGATTATGGCCTGATAGTCATTCGGTCCATGTTTTTGCCACCTTGAGAATGTAGTCATATAAAAATTCATACAAAAGATCAATTTTTGGGTTGGTTGTCCAGACACAGCATTTTTGGGTCGAGTGAAATTACAGAGGAACACATCCTTCGGTTGTAATATCAACTGTGTTTATACGGACGTTTCCATACAAACACTCTAAACGATCTGAGCTTTGTGGATAGTTGGGGTATGCGGTGGAAGGAAAAGGGTTGTGTTGGCCGGGAGCAGGATGTTATTGGGTTTTGACTTGGGCCATAGCGTGCCGTTAGCGCGCTCAAAATGACTGGATAGCGCCTCAGATATCTGAGAACTCGCCGTCTCGCTGCCACCGTTCTCAAATCCATCAGGCTCCATTAAACCTCTGTGGACTCCTGAATCCGTAGGGCTCACAGAATCTTCCTCTTCCTCATCCGTAAGAGTCGGGTACATGGATACTAAGGGCGAATTATGCCCCCTGCTGCCCCCTCTGCTGCTTCCTCCTGACTGCGGCCTCCCCTCTGCTGGGAGAATGGCGCTGCCGTTCCGAGACCGCACAATTTCAACAGCCTGTTCCATTGAATAAGAAGAGGGGTGGAGAGGAGGGAGAAGTTGGGTTTCCTGTATCGCATAAGTGTAAACATGTGATTATGAGCATTTTACATGCACAATTATTTGATACAGCATATGTTAAAGGAACACGCCACTATTTTTTGAAAATAGGCTCATTTTCCAACTCCCCTAGAGTTAAACAGTTGGGTTTTACCATTTTTGAATCCATTCAGCCGATCTCCGGGTCTGGCGGTAGCACTTTTAGCTGTAGCTTAGCATAGATCATTGAATCTGATTAGATCGTTAGCATCTCGCTCAAAAATGACCAAAGTGTTTTTTCAAAATATATTTTTCCTATTTAAAACTTGACTCTTCTGTAGTTACATCGTGTACTAAGAAAATGTACAAGTTGCAATTATTACACAGCGCCTGAAAATAGTCCCCAGCTAGGTAATATCGAAACTCTTTGGTCATTTTTGAGCGAGATGCTAACGGTCTAATCAGATTCAATGATCTATGCTAAGCTACAGCTAAAAGTGCTACCGCCAGACCCGGAGATCGGCTGAATGGATTTGAAAACGGTAAAACTCAACTGTTTAACTCCAGGGGAGTTGGAAAATGAGCCTATTTTCAAAAATAGTGGCGTGTTCCTTTAAACTGTGTTAGCATTACTAAACCGTTGAGAGTTATTAAAGCTTTAAGTACTAGCTTTAGGTATCAGATCATAAATTCGGGGTAAAACATTAGAATACGGCACGCTATTGACTAATAAAAAAAAATGTTTTTATTAAAGTATTTGCATGGAATTTGGGGTAAAACAGTAGAAAAGGTGTCATAAAATTAGGGTACATTTTGATGTTCTCCTACTAATTTTAAAGAAATAAAGGCACATTTTAGATAAACTGATATCTAACATAAAATTAACAAATCATGAAAGTTTTTAGTAATAAATGGTGGGTGGATATTACAACAGTTTTACAATTATCAATGCTATTTTCTCACTTCATTCACTATTGCCTTGTTGACTATAAGGGTTTTGGGGTTGAAAGAAACTCCAAATTCTCACCATGGCTGCTCGTATTTGATTTGAAAAATACAGTAAAAATAGTAATACTGTGAAATATTATTACAATAAAAAATAACTATATTTAAAAAATATATATATAATTTATTCATGTGATGGCAAAGCTGAAATTTCAGCAGACATTACTTTATTTTTCAGTGTCACATGATCCTTCAGAAATCATTCTAATATACTGATTTATCAATCAAGATACATTTTCTATTATTAATATTGTGTTAAAAACAGTTGCTTAATATTTTTTGTGGAATCCGTGATACATTCTTTAAGCCATATGTAAAAAATAATTATGATTGTCAGTTACCAAGATACAAGGTACAAGCAGTAAATAAAAAAAAGTTAATAAAAAAATAAAACACTAAAATTGTGAAATAAAACATTTAATAAAAGGAAGATTATAACGTTTGAAATGATAAAACAGTATATATTCAGTATATACTCATACATATCATTCACTACCATACCATTTGGCATCAGTAAAATTTTTTGTTTTTAAGTAATACTTTTAGTCAGACCGTAAAGACATTTATAATGTTACAAGAAAATTCTATATCAAATAAATGCTTTTATATTCATCAAAGAATCCTGAAAAAATTATCACAGTTTCCACAAAAATATTAAGCAGCAAATCTATTTTCAACGTTGATTAGAATGAGAAATGTTTCTTGAGCAGCAAATCAGCATATCGGAATGATTTCTGAAGGATCATGTGACACTGAAGACTGGAGTAATGATGCTGAAAATTCAGCTTTGCCATCAAGGAATAAATTAAATTTGAAAACATATTCAAATAAAAAACACTTATATTAAACTTCCAAAATATTTCTCAATATTACTGTTTTTACTGCATTTTTGATCAAATAAATACAGCCTTGGTGTTAAGACAGATGTCTTTAAAACACATTTAAAAAATCCTACTGACCCAAAACCTTGCATTATCAATAAACATTTTTTATGTGTATATATGTATTTTCACCGAGTATCTGTTGTCTGTGCTTCCTGAGTTGACTCTCCTAATTGAGGCTTGTCTTGATAGAGTGCTGATTTCCTCCCTTACAAAGAGGGTGAGACAGACACAGACTGAAGTACAGGTGTGCAGTACACAAATTCTCAAAATCAGACCAGTCATGTAAATTATTCTATGTTCAGAAAGAAAGACAAATTTTCTTACTTTTTTTCAACCAGCTCTATAGCCAGTTGTTGATTTTTGCGCTTATAGTAGCGGTTTACTGAAATGATCACTATGATAAGAGTGAGAACAATCACTGCAGCAACACCAGCAATAATAATCATCATCAAGTAGTTCACTGATGTGTTTCTCGGAGACGACTCTGAAAGAAACATGCAACAAAGCATTCAATTACAATTGTATTCAATTACAAGAGTCCTGTCATCATTTGTGTGAATGAGTCAGACTTCTTTATGGTGCTTTTGTGTTTTTGTTCTTTTAGAGAATGACTTTATGGAAAAGGTTGTACATTCTGTCTAACATCTCCTTTTACATTCCACAGATAGAAAAAAATATCATGCAGGTTTGGAACGACGTGAGGGTGAGTAAATGGTGACAGAATCTTCATTTTTGGATGAATTATTCTTTCAGTTTGATGGATTATGAGATATGCATTTGCATATTATTTTCACTAGATGACAGCACTGTGCACTGCACTTTAACATGAGTGAATGGTTTCCAGTGGGATACACACCTGATATATTTATTTGAATCTCAGCTTTTCCAGATCCCACCTCATTGGTGGTGGTGCAGACATAAACTCCTTGATCTGTCAAGCTCAGGGGCCTGGAAAAGCGCAGCGTGCCTCCTTCCACAGTCACACCCTCTGGTAGAGCTTCATCTTTCCTGTGTGAAAAACAAAATATGATTTAATCCCTCAATCAAAAACAGAACATTGTAAACAACAGAATCTACAGTCTAGGATTCTTCACATAACCAATGATTTATGCTTAATTATTTACAGAATATTGACTTGTCCTTGATAGCAGAACATGGTCCTTCAGAAATCATTCTAATATGTGACCCTGGAGCACAAAACCAGTCTTAAGTCGCTGGGGTATATTTGTAGCAATAGCCAAAAATACATTGTACGGGGTCAAAATTATTGATTTTTCTTTTATGCCAAAAATAATTAGGATATTAAGTAAAGATCATGTTCCATGAAGATATTTCGTAAATTTCCTACTGTAAATATATTAAAACTTAATTTTTGATTAGTAATATGCATTGCTAAGGACTTAATTTGGACAACTTTAAAGGCGATTTTCTCAATATTTTGATTTTTTTGCACCCTCAGATTCCAGATTTTCAAATAGTTGTATCTCGGACAAATATTGTCCTATCCTAACAAACCATACATCAATGAAAAAGCTTATTTATTCAGCTTTCAGATGATGTATAAATCTCAATTTTAAAAAATTGACCCTTATGACTGGTTTTGTGGTCCACATATGGTCCTTCTATCATTCTAATATGCTGGTTCGCTGCTAAAAAAAAAACATTTCTTATTATCAATGTTGAAAACAGTTGTGCTGCTTAATATTTTTGTGGAAGCCATGACGCATTTTTTCAGGGTACTTTGAATTGAAATGTCAAAAGAACAGCATTTATTCGAAACAGAAATATTTCAGAACATTACAAATGTCTTTACTGTCACTTTTGGTCAATAAAATGTGTCCTTGCTGAATAAAAATATTAATTTTTCAACTGACCCCAAACTTTCTAAGTGCAAACAACTGAATCTATACTGAAGAATCTGTACATAAAAATGTATTTTTGACTAATTATTTCATGAATACCAACTTAAAATATCCCTGGTCTGTATTACTTTCAGTTCATCAGTGATTTTATCACAAAAAATGTTTTTGTCCATAATACAGTCAGAATGGTATCGTTTCAAAAAAATAAAAAATTTCGTGCAGTGCTTTAAAGAAGTAGTTCTCAATTGGTTTAAACAGAAATATTTCAGAACATTACAAATGTCTTTACGGTCACTTTTGGTCAATAAAATGTGTCCTTGCTGAATAAAAATATTCATTTTTCAACTGACCCCAAACTTTCTAAGTGCAAACAACTGAATCTATACTGAAGGAATCTGTACATAAAAATGTATTTTTGACTAATTATTTCATGAATACCAACTTAAAATATCCCTGGTCTGTATTACTTTCAGTTCATCAGTGATTTTATCACAAAAAATGTTTTTGTCCATAATACAGTCAGAATGGTATCGTTTCAAAAAAATAAAAAATTTCGTGCAGTGCTTTAAAGAAGTAGTTCTCAATTGGTTTTCCATCAAGATCCAGTTTTTTTAACATCAAGTGACAGCACAACAAAAACTCTGAATTTAATGTAGTCTAGGAAGGTGCTTTGTTTTGTTTAAAGGGTGATTTGTTTATGATGTGATTTCAATTTTTCCTTTCTCTTTTGAGTGTTACAAGCTCTTGGTGCTTAAAGAAGATCTGTAAAGTTGCAAAGACTAAAGTCTCAAATCCAAAGAGATATTCTTTATAAAAGTTAAGAGTCAGCCACACCTACCTAAAACGGCTCGTTCTAACACGCCCCCACATGTCTACGTCACTATGTGGGAAGATTTGCATAACGCCGCCCAAATGTTCACGCAAAGAAAAAAGGCGTAACTTTTATTCTCGCTGTAGTATTGTTGTTGCCGCTGTCGCCATGTCGTGAAGGCACTGTGTGTTTCGTTGTGAAAGTGAAACTACTTTGTTTGGCCATCCAAAAGAGGACGATATCGATTCGTCATGCCTGGAGCTGATCCATGCTGGTCGCTGAGGAAATACGCCGGATCAGCTTTCGCCCTGGACGAAGCGGAGTCCAGCCCGGGGTCGTCACA